TACTACTACTACTACTACTACTACTACTACTACTACTACTACTACTACTACTACTACTACTACTACTATTACTACTATTACTACTGCTGCTGCTACTACTACTTCTACTTATCATCATCATTACAGTCCACCCCTCCTCCTCCTCGTCCTTCTCGTCCTCCTCCTCCTCCTCGTCCTCCTCCTCCTTCTCCTCCTCCTCCTCCTCCTCCTCCTCGTCCTCGTCCTCCTTCTCCTCCTCCTCCTCCTTCTTCTCTTTCTGCTGCTACTGCTACTGCTACTGCTACTGCTACTGCTACTGCTACTGCTACTACTACATTGCATTTATATAGCACACGTCCAGGCTCTGCAGCATGCTCGTGGCTCTAAACAACTACATGTAACTGGTATTACCAAAGCAGACCCTAAAACGCTGGGAACATTCTCAGCTTCGAGGGAAGCATACAGTGCAAGCTGCGGATTGTCGCACTCAAATACTAACTAACTCACAAGGTCTTTGTAGTTATACATGTTGTTTTTGCGTTGCTGTTTTATTCCTGTTGTATTGATGGGGTGGCTATAGTAGTTGTAGATGTCATTGATGTTATAGTTTCTGCTGTTTTTCCTGATGAACATAGTGTATTTATTACAGTTAGTGTTGTTGTTGCTTTTGTTCTTATGCTTGTTGTGGGTGTTGCAGCTGAAGCTGTTGTTATTGTTGTTGTTGTTGTTGTTGTTGTTGTTCGTGGTGGTGGTGTTACTATTTCTAGTGTTGCTGTTGTCGTTGTCATCGTCATTGTTGTTGTTATTGTTGCTGCTGCTGTTTCTAGTTTTGCTATCGTGGTTGTCGTCGTCATTGTTGCTGTTATTGCTGTTGGCTTCTGTTAAATCACTGGCAAACAAGAAAAGCAGACATTCGGACTCACCAGAGCCCGTGTTGCCCCAGCCTGAGATGACACACTTCATGCCCTCTGTGTGTTTGGTGTTCCGTGTGGGCAGACAGGCCGGCTGCACGTAGTTGTTGAACTGGATCCCTCGCCCGTTCTTCGCCTTCACCTTAATGAGGGCGATGTCGTTGTTCTTAGACGTATCTGAGAGGCGTAGTTTTGTGGGGGGTTATTTTCAAAATGCCTCTATATTTTATTTATATATATATATATATATATATATATATATATATATATATATATATAGAGAGAGAGAGAGAGAGAGAGAGAGAGAGAGAGAGAGAGAGAGAGAGAGACAGAGACAGAGAGACAGAGAGAGAGACAGAGACAGAGACAGAGAGAGACAGAGAGAGAGAGATATGGGTATGAACGATCAACGGAGAGAGAAAGAGAGAGAGAGAGAAAGAAAGAAAGAAAGATTTAGGAATTCTTGGCTTAAGAGAGAGAGAGAGAGAGAGAGAGAGAGAGAGAGAGAGAGAGAGGCAGACCTCTCCTACTCCTGGGGGTGTGAATGGTTTCAAGATTAGAAACTGCATTCAAAATGACACTTAGCGGCTTTCAGGGGCAGGGGCTCGAGGATTGGGGGGGGGGGGGCAGCTTCCTAAACATCAAAATTAAATAGCAGCCAACCTAAGGTTAATAGTTGTTGTGTTTTTAACTCTGGGTAACCATTGTCGATACAAAGTATAAAGAATCCCTTTGAAAAAGTCTTGCAAACTGTTTGAAAGAGAGGGTCACCTCATTCAAGTTGTTGGAAAAACGGACTTCTTGTCATCGGAACGCTCTGCGCGTTTCTGCTGTTGTCAGGACATTCAACATCCGTCTTTCTGTTGTCTTTGAATGTCTGACCCCTCGGGCCGGTGCCACTGACTCAGTGACTGTAGTGTCTTTAGGCCATTCCCAAAGGGGGAACATTTCTCGTTCTAATGCACTGTAAAATTGTAAAATAATTGTAAATGAGCTGATTCGTCAATGTCATGCTCATAACTGTGCCTGAACTACAACACGGAACTGCTGCTTTTTCTCTTCCTCATCCTTACTATCGTCATTTTCCTCTACTTCTTTTGTATGTTTGTCATACCCTTGTGACCCGCTATTTCCGAGTTATCTTGATTGTCGAAGCAGACTTTGTACTGTTTAAGCTAGAGAGGTGAGCAGAGTAAGTCTGATCCCCTGTGAAGACTTCTCTGTTGACATCCACTCCTTGGCGCTCATATGACCTTATGCAGTTGCGAGTGCCGTAAAACGTCTACTAAATAAATAAAAGTTGAATGTATTGGTAACAGCAGAAACACGCGGAGCATGCCGATTACTCAATTTCTCTGACGTTGATTTAAACCTTTAAACATTACATCTTTTCTGGGTGACAATGGCCAGGAGTTTGTTGTTGCTTTCGATAAAAACAGACTTTATTAACTTCATTTTTTAAATCCGCAAAGTGGTGGGGAAACTATGTCATTATTTAAATTTTGACATGGGTTCTGTGAACTTAAATTGAAGCACCAGAATGTTATTTTTACGACATGGCTTAATTTTAATACCCTGAGTAATACTCACGTGAAAGGATAGGCGTAAAGACTAAAAAGACTTGATTTGTCTACACAATCAAAAACAATAGTAACACTGGTACTCTATTATTGCCAGTGATAATTATGTTGTCCTTGTGACAATAAGGAATTATTCTGAGGCTTGAGACCTTCCATAAAAAGTAGGAAATTCAAATTTGAGTCCTATTCTCTGCTTGTGTCTCTGTTTCTATCTGTCTGTCTGTCTGTCTGTCTGTCTGTCTGCTCTCTCTCTCTCTCTCTCTCTCTCTCTCTCTCTCTCTCTCTCTCTCTCTC